TCACTTCTTTTTTATCCATTCACCTGTTGATGGGCATTTGGATTGTTTCCATATGTTGATTATTGTGAATAATGCTGCAATTCACATAGGAATACAAATATCTTATTGAAATCCTGCTTTCATTTCCTTTGGGTATATACTCAGAAGTTGAATTGCTGAATCATATGGTAGATTTGTATCTTTTTGAGGACTCCCCATATTGTTTTACATAGTGATTGTACCAACTTATATTCCCCTAACAATGTATAAGGGTTCCCTTTTCACCACATCCTTGCCAGCACCTGTTGTCTCTTGTCCTCTTGATGATAGGCATCCTGAGAGATGTGAGGTAATATATCATTATGGTATTGTATTTTCCTGATGATGAGTTATGTTGAGTATTTTTTCATGTGCCTGTTGGCCATTTTAAAGACGTCTGGAAAATTGTTTGTTTAGTTCTTCCACCCATTTTTGAATCAGACTGTTATTTATGTTGTTATTAATTTGTATGAATTCTTTATATTTTTTGGATATTAACCCCTTATCCAATATATTATTTGAAAAGCGTTTCTCCCATGCTGTAGAGTTTTTCATTTTGTTAATGGTTCCTTGTGCTGTACAGAAGCTTTTGAGTTTGATGGAGTCTCATTTGTTGATTTTTGGTTTTGTTGCTTGTGCTTTTGGCATCATGTCCAGAAAAACTGCCAAGATCGATATCAGTGAGCTCCTCCCGTGCATTTTTTTCTAGGAGTTTTATAGTATTACATCTAATGTTTAAGTCTTTGCTCTATGTCAAGTCATTTTTGTGAGGAGTATGATATAGAGGCCCAATGTCATTGTTCTGCATGTGTTTCCCCCTTTTTATCCAGCACCATTTATGGAGGAGATTATCCCTTCTACATTGGGTGACATTGGTTTTTGTTGAATATTAACTGACCATAGACACTAGGATTTAATTCTAGGCTTTATATTATGTTCCACTGGCCAATATGTCTATTTCTGTTTTTAATACTGTTACTTTGTAGTATCATTTGAAATCCAGAGCTGTAATACTTCTGGCTTTCTTTTTCCTTGGCTTTCTGGAGTCTTCGTTGATTCCACACATATTTTAGAATTATTTCTCTTGTATCTCTGAAGAATGACTATGGCATTTTGATGGAGATTGTGTTGAATTTATAAATGGCTTTGGATAGTGTGGCCATTTTAGCCTTCCAATCCATGAACATGGATGTTATTTCCATTTGTGTCATCAATTTCTTTAAGCAGTTTTAGAAGTTTTCATTGTACATCTTTCACATCCTTCGTCAAACTTATTCCTGAGTATTTTATTGTTTTTGATGCTATTATGAATAGGTTAGTTATATTTCTTTTTCAGATGATTGATCATTAGTCTAAAAGAATGTAATTGATTTCTGAATGTTGACTTTGTATTCTGCTTCTTTACTGAAATTGTTGATTAATTCCAAGGTTTTGACTGACTCTTTGTCTTCATTAGCCTATAAAAGTTCCATCATTTTATTTGCCTCCTTTTATATTTTTGATGCCACAAATTATTTCATTGTTGAGATTTTATTTCCAAGTTGTAGCTATAGTTATTTTAATGCTCGTTTCCTTTAAGCTTGATAAATGTTTAATATATAATTATAGAAAAGAGTTAACAGTTTTCTAATTCTGGCAATTGATTTATCACCTTGAGCAGAATTTTGTGTACTTTTGTCTTTTCATTTCACCTGAAAAGCCCTTTTCAACATTTCTTACAAGGCAGGTATAGTGGTACTGAACTCCTTCAACTTTTCTTAGCCTGGGGAAGCATTTATTTTTCCTTCATATCTGAAGGGTAATTTTGCCAGATTGAGTATTCTTAGCTGTAGTTTCTGTCTTACAATACTTTAAATATGTTACTTTACTCTTTGCTGGCCTATGGAGTTTCTGCTGAGAAATCTGTTGATAGCTTTATAGGGGCACCTTTGAAGGTTACCGTCTTTTTCTCCCTGGCTTTGTTTAACATTCTTTCTTTATCGTTGTTTGTTTCAGTGTAATACATCTTGGAGAAAGTCTTTCGCGTTGAGATAATAAAGTGTTCTATTACCTTTCTGGAGTTGCAATATCCAGTTCCTTCCCAAGGTTTAGAAGTTCTCAGCTATTATATCTCTAAATATGCTCTCTGCTCCCTTCTAATGGGTAAGCCTATTATTTTGGCTTTTGTAAGGGAGTATGGAAGTTTTCATAGAATTTATTCATTTTTTAAAACTCTTAGTTTTTTGTCCTCTTCCACCTAAAACGTTCCTATGTTCCTATCTTTGAGCTCACTTATTCCATCTTCTATCTAATCTACTCATTTTTAATGAGTAGAAATGCATTCTTCACTTCATTTATTGAGTTCTTCAGCCCCATAATTTCCTTGTTGTTTTTCAGAATTTCAATCTCTTTGGTAAAGTACTCGTGTTCATTAATTATATTTCTAATATCGTGGTATTGCCTTTCTGAGTTTTCCTGCCGAATTTCTTCATAAGAGCTATTTTGAATACCTTAGCAGTTGTAACACAACCTTCTGTTATACTGTATTGTCATGATTTTTCATGGTTTTTGATGAAAAGTGACTCTGCTACCACTTTTGAAGTAGTGAACATTTTTTTATTTAGGTAAGGCTTTGACTACTTTGATTCTAAGATTTCAACAGGTTGGTAATTGGGCGCCTTCCTTTTATTTTCCAGAAGGAGGTGGTATAGCACAAGTTTCTTGTTTGTCTTACTAGAGTTGAATCATCACTAAGATTAGGAGTAAGCATGAAAAAAAAAACTGATAAAGAGAAAAGGGGGGTGGTGGTGGCAGAGTGGAGGGAGGTATGTGTTTGGCACTTGGAGCTTTGGGTGTGCCTACAGCCTGGTAGGGGCAGCCACAGGAAGGGGGCTGGGGTCCCAGAGATCTGTCAGTCAAACTCTTGCCAGAATCCTAGGGCAAAGAGCAGGAACACAGTCATTCATCTCTGTTTGCCTTCTTCGTCTTCTTTTCCCTCTCTCCAGTCACTGTGATTTCTTCTCAGGGAAAACAGTGGGTCCTTCCAGCTACAGCACCAGCAGCTGGTAGAAGCTCATGAGCCACCTTCCCCCTCTGCCTCTGCTAGACAGGTCACGCTGGCCTTCTGGTGCCTCTGCCACCGGCACTTCTGCCACGGCCACTACAGCTGCCGCTGCCTTTTCCACTGCCACTTTCCTGGATCCACAACTTTCCGCTTCTGTGTACACAGTGCATGGGTGTTTTGAGTCCTGTTGTGTTGTGATAAGGCATTTCTTTTGGCTGTAGGTGTTAGATTAGTTGTAAATTGAAGGGGAGTGAGAAAAGGAACGACTCACTCCACCATGACACTGATGTCACTCTCCAATAGAGCAATTATTATCCTTAAAGAGCTTTCTCCTCTTTGGGAAACAGACATTAAACAAACCTTAATTGTGAAACAAATACATAATAAAGACATAACTATGTAATTATGAAAATTCTCAAACTAAATCAATATATAATAAGAATCCTTTTGTCAATGGGTAGCTGAAACTTAATGGTTTGGGGCTCAAGATTCTTGAATGGCACTCATTTGACCATAAGACTACTAACTGTGTTTATTATCTATATTTGTCTTGTTTGTTTTCATGACCAAGAGATATTCTCATATGTTCCTTGGAAACTGAACTTCCAATATTTCATATCAATGGATTTTGAAGAGTAAATAGTGTTAAATATTGAGAAGGGAATTATGATAGTCAGCAAGAAAATTTCTCATCCATTCACTAGCATACAAAGCATATAAAATGAGAAATTAGTCAACACTGTAAAATTAATCTAAGTAAAAATATAAAATGAGATCACAAGCAAAACCCTGTCAGAGAAGTAGAGACAATTAATAGGACTGGAGAAACTAAATCAATTTTAAGAAAGAAAGAATGAAATTCAAGCATAAGAACATTATACTAAGCAATAACTTGGGTTCTACATGTAAACATTAAAAATAACCAGAGTAGTATTTAAACTTTCTAGCAAACTTCCTTAGTTTTCTAAGTAATACTTTGTACAAAGGCAATGCAGAACTCTTTCTGTATTATTGAAAATCTGAACTTCTTAGTGTCTGTCAAAGATGAATGAATGGTGCTTTTGAGAATACCTTTGCTCCAAACCTAACATAGAACATTGAATCTAGATATTGAACAGATATATTCTGAAAGTAATTACTTGATTTTATTTCAAAAGTCAGAATGACTGCTGAACTATTTCTCTAAAATTTTCCCCTTAACAGTCCAGTGGGTACAAATGGAAGCACTGTGGAGACCTGTGCCTGGCAGAACACTATTCTATGTTGCCACAGGGATCCAAGTTTGGTAGTGCCATTGGACTAGATACCATGCAATTTTCTAAGTATGCACAATGGAAAACACATTCCTGGAGACTCCTAAGAATTCCAGGTCTAGGGCTGCTAAATTCTTCTTTGATTTCCTCATCTTAAAAGGAAGATTATTGGAAATTTGCAGTTCTGGCAGTTCCTTTATTTTGATATGTTAAGCATTTTTTGTATATATTCTTTTATATTAATGAATTAGTCATTCCATTTACAGCCATAGCAGGCTGAGCCATAATTGGATTAAGCATTTTACTGCTTCTGTGTGATTGGAAAGTTTATTACAAAGAAACAGTAAGTACTGCATATCTTTTTTCATGTACTTTAATTTATTCTATAAACAATGTATGTTCATCTTCTGGATAGATGTTTAATTCTGCAGACAAATTCCCTTTTTCAAGACATCTTTTCTATTCCATTCTACTCTAGCCATTTAGATAAGTGACCTTCGATTGGAGGAATTTTTTGCCTTTCAGAGGGCATCTGGTGATACATGAAGATATTTTTGCTTTCTCAAATCAGTGAGAGGGGATACCAGGAATGCTGCCAAACATCCTATAATCACCATAACAACATCCACAACAAATAATTAGCTGGCCTAAAGGTCAATCAACAGTGCCATGAGAAACCCTGACCTGAAACACAGGAGACATGGTAGCGAGAGTGGAAGCTGACATTGGAAAAACAGAGTAAGTAAAGATTGTGAAGTGTTTTGTCTGACAGGGTTTGTTTGCCTAATGAATATTCATTCCCCTTTCTTCTCTACTAAATGTACCCAAAATTTAGGAACTATCAATTTGCTTAGCCCAGGGAGTAAATTATAATTGGCCCACACTAACCATGGTAGCCCATTCCTCTTTACTAGTTAGTGGCTAAAAAGAGAAAATTTTCTGACCAAGGATGGCTTCTGGAGACACCTGGAAATGCTGGAATCATCACTCTGTCAAAGGAGAAAAATCTACAAAGTGAAAATCCTTTTTTGTTTTCTTCCTGTATTCTGGCTTAGGATTCTGTGATGAGAAGTCATTATACCTGAAGTTACATCAGCTCTTACATCTATGAGGTGGCAAGCCTCTGTGTTAAATCCAACACTCAGAAGATTTCAGAGTGGAAAGATCCAGGGTTCTTAATATTTCACCTCTGGAACCAACTCTGGGACCAGTTATTTATAGAACATGACTAAGGGAAAACACATGACATGGCCATATTCAGCTATTGCTACATGGTTGACATGAAATAACACTTCTGCTGATGATAAAAATAAAATATGTTAAAGGTACTAAAATAGCTTTTTTGAATGTATCAGAAACACCATGATATCCAGAACTAGAGAATCCAAGATCCCAGACAGAAAGTAAGTTCAAAGTAATTCAACCAAAAAAAAGTGTAAATATGGTAAAAACTCCTGTTTTTCGGTTGAGAATACAGAAGCCTCAGTTCTAGGAGTAACGGCAAGGTAGATACACCAGCTGTCCAAATGTGCACCTTCTATTCACTGCTGCTTTTTCTCCACAGCACATAACTGATAAACATGAAGTACAGGACTACAAAATACTTAAAGAATCAAAGTTCTGCAGAAAAGGAAATTGCACAGAAATGAGTCAAATAATCTGCACATAATTCTACCTTAAGGTATGTACAATTCTAATCTCCATATGGACCATGGTTAGAGTTTCTGAAAAACTGAACACGAAGTAAAACTTACAGAGATAAAAAACAAAGTTGAGATTTCAGTTATTTGTCATTGTTGAGAAGTCAACAACTGGAACTAAGAGTCAACCAAAAAAAAAGTAAATATGGTAAAAACTCCTGTTTTTCGATTGAGAATACAAAAGCCTCAGTTCTAGGAGTAATGGCAAAGTAGAGATACACCAGCCATCCAAAAAGCCAGAAATGTACCTTCAATGTATTTCACTTTTTCATTCGATCAAGTTCATTTATCCATATTTCCTGCCTGCCAGAAGAAAAATATTCTTCCCTGAAGGCATATAATATCATCTGGATATTCTATAATTTTTAATCACAATATCTAACATTTAATATAAAATTAGACATGTCACAACAAGAAAAGACATGAATCTAAAAGAAAACAAAGAACTAAATACCCAGGCAATAAATAGATGCAAAGTGTACCATATATTATCATTAGTAGAAATGGGTTTTAATATGACTAATATGTACATGAATGTTGAGGAAAAGATAAAGCAATTTATTAGTAATTCATAACAAAGAATACATTTGTAATGTATAACAAAGAATATATCTTTTTAAAAATGGAGAAACACAGTTACTGAAAGAATAGAGTAGATACTTAAAAGCAGTTGGAAGTAACAGAAAAGACAATTAATATTCTAAAACATAAATCAGTGTAAAATAATCCAAATTGAAGTAAACAGGAAAAAGGGGATAATATATTACAAGGAAAAAACATAAAATACAACATGGGTCCTGAGAAAAGTATATATATTTGAAATCAGTAAGTTAAAAAAAAATGAGGCAGAAGTAATATTTGAAAAGATACTGTCTAAGAATTTTCCCAAACTTCAGATGATACAAAGCCACAAATTAAAGAGTTACTATGAACAGCAAAGATTTAAAATCCCTAAGAATGCTATGGTCATACTGCTGTTGAACACCAAAGGAAGAAAGCAGTAAAAATATTCAAAGCCTCACAGACAAAAATGTTCCTTTAAAAACAGCAGCAATAATTCTGAAGAAATGTAGTAACTGCATTAGTGGGGGTGAAGTGAGGATTTAATAATGTGGGTAACTGCTGAACCACTGTTATATACTTGAAACCAGTGTAAGATTGCATATCAATGATACCTCAATAAAAAATAAATAAATAATTCTGACAAAGACTTCTCAGCTCAAACAAAATAAGTCAAAGGAATTTGGAATAACATCTATAAACTGGGGAAGGAAACTAACTGTCAATCAAAACAGAATTCAATACACAGTAAAAAAAAGAAACCCTAAGATGTAATAGAAATAGAAATTTTCAGACAAAAATAAATATAATGTATTCAATAGGGACATAAGTTTCTAAATTTGTATGCACTTAATACATGTGCCTCAGAATATGTAAAGCAAAGACTGACAGAACTAAAAAAGAGGAATAGTTGCATCCATAATTGAAGCTAAATATTTTAACATTTTTCTCAGTAATTTTCAGAAAAAGACTAACAGATGAGGAGGTGTAGGAGAGATTTTTGAATCATATAATTAACAAAGTTTGCCTAATTGATTTTAATAGAACATAGTATATAAGAACTGCAGGATATATAATTTTTTCAGGCCTCAAAATGGGAGAGATATTTAGAAAAACACTATATAGATTTTGTGTGTGCATGTATCTGTAGGGGAGTGTGTAATAAAGAATTTATATGAAGATTATATAAGTTTCTTATGAATAAGAAAAAGAAAATCAATCTATGCAAAATGGGAGAATACTCACAGAAAGGAGTAGCAAAATGCCGGTTAGCATATGGACACATATTCAATTTTTTATTCATCAACAAATGCAAAGCAAAACCACAATGAGATTTTATTAGTCATACCCAAAATGGCTAACATTAAAAATACAGATATTAAAAAAAAGCTAAAAAGACAATTATTTGCTTGAATGTGAAGCATCTAGAACACTACTGGAAAACACATCTGGAAACTATTTGTCAGTACATACTAAAATTGAATATATGCACAATATATGATTCAGTAACTGCATCCATAGATATATATTCAACATGTAAACATCATTAGTAGTCACTACAAATTGGGAACAACTCATTGCCCATCAAATGTTGGATGGTTAAATAAACTACTACTTTCATAGAATGGAATATTCTACAGCAATTAAATGAACAAACTACCACTACATGCCAGAACATGGATAGAACTCATACGATATTTATTGAATGAGAGAATCCAGAGAAAAAAGAAAAAAAGACTACTTCATATCACTTATAAAAAGCTCAAAACATGGGTGGGGAGGGAGGGAGAAGGGGACTGTGGGGTATCGTGATTGGTGCACATGGTGTGTGGGGTGTCACGGGGAAGACAGTGTAGTTCGGAGAAGACAAACACGGACTCTGTGGCATCTTACTACACTGATGGACAATGACTGAAATGGGGTATGGGAAGGGTCTTGATAATAAGGGTGAATGTAGTAACCACATTGCTTTTCTTGTGAAACCTTCATAAGAGTGTATATCAATGATACCTTAATAAAAAAAAAAGCCCAAAACAGACTAAATTTAAAATATATATAATATGTAATATACATTACAATATACATCACATATTATATACAAGCTCTATAATACATAATTTAACATACAATATTTAATACATATTTAATGTATGGACATTAATTATAAATGTAGATACTGATATATTCAATAATACATATATATAATAAATAGAATTTCATTTGAATAATAGAGCTTATACTAGTTTATTTTGTGTAGGGTTACAACTGGGTGGCTACCTGAAGAAGGCTTCTGGACTGTGGGTAATATTTTATATTTTGATCTGGCTAGTAGTTACATAGATATACTCATTGTAAAAGTGTAACAAGCTATAGACTCAAGACGTGTGCATAATACATTATATTCTTCAATGTAATGATTACCAATGAAATGACCTTAAATTTCAATGATTATCAGTGAAATTACTGATAAAATGCCCTTAAATATAAGCCACAGAAATTTGTATTCAACATAATCTGTTAATATGTAAATCTATATGCAAAGTAAATATTGAAAAAACATATTAGTAGCACTGTTACCATGTGCAGGAATCCTGAAAATCAAATTGGCATGGAAATAACATGTTTATATCTATTTTAGGGAAGTGTGGAAGTATATAGGTTGTTTACATAGTGGAATTCTGTTGGAAAAAAGGATTAATTTGAAACTAACTTTATTGTGTGCTCAATGATTTCCTTGTGAAGTTGCGATGAGTTCTTCTCAGCCCGGTATTAATGCAGTGATTTGCATTGTCAATGCCACTCAGCCAAAGACTCCCAGGAATTCCTATAGTTCAACAAATTGGGTTTACCAATGACAGCAGCAAGGGAGAACATATACCATTTAGAATCATGGGGCATCTCAGCAAGAAGGTCTGGTAAAGCACTTGTTACAGGATTTGTGGTTTTTTGGGTAATTTGGGGGAGAGTCTATGCATGTAAGGGATTGCTCTGGATTGGATGGTGTCAGGAAGTGGGGCCAATTTCACAACTGAGTATCTGAATAAATCTCATCTAGAGAGAAGACTACAGTGAGAATGAAGTCATGATTAATGAAGAGGTAGTAGTTACTCATTTAGTGGAAGAACACGATGTTTGACATTTTATGGGTTTCACAGTGACCTTATTGTTTTCTCACTTTATTATGGTCTCAGGGTGACCTTGTATTGAGATATATGTTCTATGATACTGTTTATGTCCAACAGGAGAACAGTATAATTTAGCTATAAGCTTCATATCATTTGGAATAAATATTGAGGGTTATGTGTGAATGTCAGATCAGTTTGCACAAGTAACATTTTAACACTGAAATCTAGCTGTGAGGTCATATCAGTTACCTGACATTAGGCAATGTTTTGTTCTTTTTCAGTATCAAGGCTATACCGTACAGGTTCCTAGTTTTCTAGCAACACATTAACTTGTCTGACCCATTAGAGAGTGCCAATAATCTCACATGACTAGCAATGCAAGGAAGAGAGGATGGAGTTCAGGAAGAAGTCTTGAAGAAAAAAATAATTTTGATTACATTGTTTTAACAACTGACAAATGATATAGATAAAGATACAGAAAAAAATGATGCTTTCCGTATCCTACATTCTCAGTAAGAAGGAAACCACATTTTGTTTCTAAAAACAATTAAAAGAAAATATATTGCATCCTTCCACAAAAAGCCAGAATGGAGAGATGTGGTTGGAAAGGTGGACACAGAAGCAATAGACCAGGGAAATGGGAGATATTTTCAAGATTGAGGGAGGCTCATTTTGGGGACCAGGGACTCCCAGCCTTGTTGTTTAGCGTAACAACTCAGAGCCAATCAAATTTATGACCATACAGATTTGGTCATACTTATCCAGGAATAACCTGTGTGTGCATTAAAGAGTACAAGGCCCTTCTCCACATGTTTGAAACTTCTAAATCTGAAATCATCACAAGAGGCTAAAGACATAATAACTGAGATAAAAATTTTCACCATAACAGAAGTGATATGGACTATAGTTAGATTAAATGTGATGTAGAAAAGTAAGTTGTTATTTAGAAAAATAAACTGTTGTTTATTTTAATGTAACAGCAAAGTGAAATCTATAACTTATATAGTCTTGTTGTTTCTAGCACAGAAATAACAGAAATGTGCAAAAACTAAACATTCCATCACTAAGCAGTTCAAGAAAAGCACTATTAAGTTTGCTACCACATTTCTTTAGGTGATTTCTTTACATCATGATATGAATTTTAACCTGTCATGGGAAAGGGCAATTGTTTGGTAATACATAGTATATTAAAATAGTGAATCATCGGGTATCTCAACTGTGGGTGGGTACAACTGACTTTAAACCCAGGTCACTAACTGTGGCCTTGGTATCAAAGTAAGTGAGGCAGGCAGAGAAAAATGCCAATCCCAGATTGAGAAAAGACTGATGTAGTCAAAGTCCTCATCTTTAAAGCTGAAAATTTGAAGGATTCTGCTGTTCATAGGAAAAGGCACTTAGCACCATTATCACAAGTATGGACCTGTTAGGGGAAGCTTGCAAATAAGAAGAGCTGCACAAATTAACACTTTTGTACAAGCAAAATATGAGCAAATAAATGAATCCTAATTCCCACAAAAAGCTCAGAATGTAAGCTTATAAATACTAAGTGGAGTATTTTCTGTATGCTAGCCTCTTAAATAGCAATAGCAAACAAAGGAACAAGATATTTTGCCTCCAAGCTGATATAAAATAAAAAATCCACATCTGTAAAATTAAAAACTCTAATTCAAGGTAAAATACTAACAGGAGATACAGAGGTACAAGAGCTCAATTTGGAGTGGAACCGAAGATATTCCATGTGAAGGTATGGCATGAATTTAGATTCTAAAGTAAAGAACATCTTGCATGTGTGATGCATTTATCAATATCATTAATACATTTAGTGAACATTTTGGAGTATCTACAGTGAGAGAGAAACTATGCTGGAACCTGAAGATGCAAGGAAGAATTCACTGAGTTACTGGTTTCAGTATGTCAGCAACATTTTGGCTGGTGTCTTAAGCGTTTATTAATTATGATGTTGACAGCATTTAATTGACTTCTCTTGAAACTGTATATCTTACATAGTCATGACACTCCATTTCTCTTCCTCCTGCTGGTGATCTAGGGTGTGGGAAGGGCTTGGGTTCCAACAGATCGAGGCTTTGGGATGTTACCCTATTTTGTGATGTCTGCTCTGTTCTCCAGGTGTGTGCAGTCTGGTGCAGCCTTCATTCCTTTTGCTGTTTTAGGGTTAGTTGTATTGACTCTATTTTCATACTATATGTGGTTTGGGGAGGAGTTCTCTGTCTCAACCCTCACGCCGCCATCTTGAATTGATCTATCAATGATTTTTTAATTTAATCACGCTTCCTGCCATATGGAAGCATCAGTAAGTGCCCAGTGAAATAACAGCTGTCTAAATGCAAAGCCTGACAAAGAAACAGCAGAAGGGGGAGGAAAACGTGAAGAAGGAAGAGGAGGAATCATCTTTATTTTTTTCATCATCATTATCATCATATTCTCATTTTACATGATGTAGCTTTAAGAAGGTTTAAGTTTTTACTTCTCAGATATTATTTAATTTTATGTTGACAACAACTTATAACAAAATCGAGTGACAATTTCTTTTCATAGTTATAAAGGGAGAAAAACTAAGATTGATCATAAAATTAATTCCATTTTGGACCCACAGTAGGATTCGTAAGACTAAAGTTTATACTTTTTCTACTAGGCACACATCCTTTTAGTATGCAAAATGTGAACATATCTAAAATTATTATAATAAACAAAACAATATGCATGATGAGTTAATTTCTTAAGTGGGTAACATCTTACATAAATCATTAATTTACCTAATTTGTGTAACATTGTGTCAGACATATGAAAGGGGCCTTGGCAAATAATCTGTTTTAAGTATCTGTGTTAATGATGAGGCAACTGAAATCAGGATAGAGTCAATGAATTTCTTTGATCATAACCTTATACATTTGCAGTTCAATGTCTTATGCATTTATACAGAAATAAAAATTGGAAATCACCAGGATACTGCTACTAAGAAAAACTCTCATGTGGACTATTTTCTTAACATTCCCATGCAATGTTAAAATTCTGAAGTAAATGGTAAAGTCATATTCATCTCCTTCTGATTATTGTTCAGAGATCAGCATACTAGTAAAAGAGCAAGCTAGTGACCTGAAGTATATGCATTTATTTCTCACACTGAAAATAATAACAAAACACAACCCTTGTTTCACAGAATTATTCTGCAGCTATTTGGGTTTTATCTTTGAATACTATGGATTCTGAAAGAAATGCACTATTAAAACATACTTAACATTAGCTGTAGGTACTATAATATTTGGAAGATAGCTTTTAGCATGTCGCATTTTACTGGTTTAACATGTATTATCCTTCATTTTATAGCCTCCAGTTTATAAGAATAGATCCTTAGCATTAAATTATTACAAATCTTGTGCTCAAAATCCCAAAGTATAGAACAGATGTATTATTGCA